AGTTGAGGAAATTTCTAAAAGGAAGTTGCCCTTGACCACTGTGAAAATCAAAAGTATAGATCCAGTTTTATGCTTAGAAATGTTTGTACAAGTATTGTTCTTTTTACCACACCTCTTTGGTGTTATAGTTTATACAGCCTTCTTGGTGTTAAGTGAAGTGCAGTTATCTAATAGTCATGTCTGAAAACAGAATGTAGCATTGAACTAAAAACAAACTTAAAAGAAGCCCCTTAGGCTTTTGAAGCCAATGGAAAGTGTTAGATGCTGTATGATTGTGAATTCTTATAAAGAGTATAAAATATTTAGTTTAAGTAGTTAAAGTTTACATGCAGCATTTATATAGATTTACATTTCTACCTAAGATTGTTTGGCTTGGCTTAAATTTGTTGTTTTTCATTGTTTACATGATCCTGGAGATGCTTGCCTCGTCTGAGCTGTTTGAACTAAATTCTTATTTTTTCTTTGAGAGAAAATTAGAGCATTTAAGATCATCATTTTTTATTATACAGTAATTGTAGTGACAGCTTAACCTCAGTGAACCATCTTTCAAAGGTACTGCATGGTARTTTACTGTATTTCAATTATGGAACTGTAATTACGACTGACAAGAAATGAAAGAGTAGTCTGTTTGGTATAACAATAACATAGTCTGGGAAATGGTTCTATGACTGGGTTGCTGTGGGTTGGGGATAGTTATAAATAGCTGTTCTTTACTTGCATTACATAGTCTGTCTAATAGTAAATTTAATAAGATGTTCAAAGTGAAATCTAATTAATGTTGCTCTAAGCATAAGTTCTACTCCTATTTTACTTTAAGTGATGTTGTGTTCTTTTTAATTTAAAGAAGTCTTATCAAGTTTATTTAGAAGCATCTTCATATCTCTGGTGTTAATATCCTTAATGATTTTTAAAGTACAACTCATGAGGAAAGCATAACCAGTCTCCACAGGAAGAAAAACTCTACAGTCATGAGCAATCTGCTCCCATTTTATGTACAATGTAAATGATTGGTTTTATACTTAACTCTGTTTTATGTGCCAATCAATGTGTTAATGTATGTGTTTAATCAACAAAATTTTCAGCAGCTGGAGATTTCAGGTAGGTTGGCAGGGCCTGTAGAGAGCGTGTAGTCTGTGTGATTAGAGCGCTCTATGGATCTGTTTCGCCTCGTGTTAGAAACGTAGCCAACGTTATCTGATGGTAGAAGAGAGGAGGATCTATCATAGGCAATTCTGTTTTCATGCTCATTGATGTGGTAGTAGTAGGATGTCTTTTCCTTTGAGAGGGAGAGATTGCTATAGGAAGCTTAGCAGCATGTAAGTAGTGAATTCAGTTTTATTTCCATTAATCTTAAGATTTACATTTTCTTGCTATAGTTTACCTTTCCAAGTCATTTTTTTATTTTATACTTGCATGTGTTTTTTTGAGGTACCTGAATTATTGTTCTTTAATGCTTGTTCAATGAAACTGTGACCAAATTGTTTTGCATGTAACAATGGTAAAAACTTTCCGCTTCCCTGACATATTGCTGTGGGATAATAAAGGCCTTTAGCTTAGTAATAAATTAATAAAGAAATGCYTTCCTAATTAAAAAGGGATGACTTTATCTCTACAAGTTCAATGGGAGAAACAAATAAGAATCCTTTCCTGGTTTCAATGTAGTATAAAAAACCATATTGTTTAGTTTGAAGCTATAGTACGTTAGGCTTGAATCGTGCAACTTACCAATGAATTTGCTGTCAGTGGAAGGGCCATTTTTCCAGGAAAATTTGGGCCTAACTTTTGGAATGCAATACTATAGGTAAAAGCTTGCAGCAAACTGCAGTTTATATAGTTCAAAATCCACTGCAATCATATCAAGTCAGGAAAGTACAGTTGCGAACTGTACAGCACTGTCCAATTGTGGTGTGTTTTGAGCAGCAGACTGCACAAATTGCTTTGATGTCCAGAGAAGTCTGTAACCGTTATGTTAAAAACCTTCAACTGATGAAGTTTATTTAAGGCAGACCTTGACTGACTTATTCAGTGTACGCTAAACTTCTGACCTGATCCACAAAGTGGTAGAACAGACAGACAAACTTTAGAAGCTGTTTCATTTATCAACACACTTGAAGAGTGAAATGAAGCTTGCGGTCATATGAATTGTAACTGATAGCTACGTGTTAAGACATGTGGTTTGGCTAAAGGGAAGAAGGAATTTTATCAAAGGAGGCAGTAGGAATAGCAGAAGACAATTATCTTCTGCATATTGCAACTGCATATGTGTTCCTTCTGTTTAATGTAATAAAAATTATGTATCRTAGATGAGAAGAAGCTTTGATAACTTCCTTTTTTGGTTGTGTGTTTTTGGAGTGTATAAGATGAATTCTGCATCTTTTCTGTCTGACCTAAGAGTATCAGGTTTCTTCTTCAAAACTAGCAGTAATCTCCCATGTAGATCAGAAGCCATTTCTTTAATAGCAAAGGTTGACAAAAAGCAGCTGCAACCAGTGTTGTAAATAATAGATATATGCTGTGTATGTCGTTCTAGTAAATATGGCTTGACTTTTCTAGTTTAAGTGTAAAATCATGGATAACTAAGGTCAGCATACTATGAGAAGTTACAGTACTTCAGTGCTGTACAAAAAACAAATAATGGTGGCTGAAGTGCCTAAATTATCATGGGTGAAGTGAGGGCGTTAACTGTAAAGCTTTGCGGAGAGGCTATATGAAATTGCAAGTTTGGTCAATATACTGACAGGTTGATTTAACATATATAATTTTGAAGTTATATATGTGTTACGTAAGGACATTAAAAAATATTTAATATTTTACGTATGATACCCCCTGAACTAACTCCTACTCTAAAGTGAAATTTTAGTTATTTTTTTTACTGTGTTTAGAGTCTGGAAAACCTCTAAGCAAAACAGTCCTGTAAAGCTCTATTTTAGTCTAAATAAGGTAGAGAAAAGGGCAGAAGGCAGATGCCATGAAGTCRTTGTCTGTTGGCTTGTTACCCCTCTGTGGCTAATGTGGCTTTTGCTGTACGTGGGGAAAACTGTGTTCTGAGTATCTTGAAGAAAGACAGCTGCAAATGGGACAGTACTTCTTCCTGTGATGTATCTTTTWTCTAACTGCATGTCTTTTATCTATGGCAAGGGCTTGTAGTATCTGATACCTTGTTAATATCATCAGGAGGACCTCAAATCCTTATTAGCAGAAGACTGTGTATCCTTGCAGGTGGCTTGTTCTGTGGAAGTCTGTGTTTGGTTGCGTGTGTGGAGTTTGTGACTGTGGAATTCCCTTCAGTAGGGCACAAAATAAGCATAGAAACCTAGTTAATATTTTACTCTGGTCTTTGCGACAACTTTTGACCTTGACAAAACTGCTAGTGTGATCCAAAATGAGTATGTCCTGATACACAGCTAACAGGATAATATGGCACTGAAATAACTACTTGTTGAGAGGTTAATACTTTCCTGGCTCTGGTTATTGTAACTTTGTGTTTATTATGTCACACTAATATTAGAATTTGCTTAATCAGTTCCATGTAAAGGATTGCATTATCTATTAAAGAATATATGCATTTAAATCCTTCATTATGTTTTATAAATCAAAACCTGAATAATTTTGAAAAGAATACTAAGTATAGGATACCACTTAAATCAGTGAAAATGTCCTGGCAAGAAAAAAAATCTTGTCCATCAGAGTCCTAAGTGAAAAATTTGTAACCATTTCATAGACTTGTAACCAATTCATAGACTACTACTAGCTGAAAAGGAGAGAAAAATACTCTGATTTATTTTCATAAGTTTGTGCATTTGTTTACTGAGTAATTTCTTGAAGGGAAGTTAAGAATTCAGGTTGGTTGCAGTGTACCTCTCTGAGACAAGAAYACACTGACCCTTTTAATAGGTAACTAATCATAGTTAACTTCCAAATGCATAGTCATGTGTTGAAGCAGGCTAGGCCTCCTTTTGAAATGATGGGAAGAATAAAAGCTCCCCAGAGTTGTTCGAAGCTACACAGCAGGG